CTTCCGATCTCCCCAAAACCCCAAAACCCCATTGGGAGCATTTCAATAAATTATAGCAATATCACTAAGACTTAATAAACAGTTATATCAAAATAAAAGTTTAATATACATATATAAAATATCTTTTTAATATGGATTAAGACGAGGACTAATAGGAATATCAAGATCAGGTATTAGACAATGCCATGTCTAGGTAAATATCTTAAACATATTAATTCATGCTTTAGAAATGAGATTCAGGGCAGCAGTCCAGGGAGTAAACAGCTGGAGAGGAACTAGTCAAATTAGTTCACACTGACCAAAACATCCAATATGAACATCACATTCTAGGACCCAGCAATCAAGGCTAAGTTAATGGCCGAAGCAAAGCAGGAAAAAGAGTAGAAAAGGCTACAAATGCTGCAGATGGAAGCTAGAATTAAGAAACTTCAGATTGAAGAGGAAAAGGCTAAGAAGAGAATCAACGATGCTAGGAAGTAGCAGCAGTTCATAGCTTAAATGAAGGAGGAAAAGATCAGGAAGCAGCAGGAGAAGTAACGCTTCTTGGAGGAGATGGCACAGAAGGAAGAGGAGAACAAGAGAAAAATACTTGAAGATAGACTCAAGTAAAAGGAGATACTTATGAAGAGCTAGCATGATAAATTCCATACTAATAAGAAAATTTCTGAAGAGATCAAAGAGTAGAAAACTAGGATCAAGCAATCAATTGAAACAGGAAAGATGTCATATTTGGAAGAGAAGCAAAAGGCTAACGTTGAGAAGCGAGACTATGTCAGCAATGATAAGTAGTTCAAAGCTACAATTAAAGGAAATTTCATTGCTTCTACAGAGAAAGCCTATCATGAAAAGATTGAAAGACAAAAGCAAGAGGCATTGGAATACGAGAGAAAAATGAAGGAACTAGAGCAGCATGAATAGCAGCTATTAAGCAGACTTCAGAAGACTCAGTAAATGGAAAACAGTGAGTTTTAAAAGCTCAGAGCCATGAAATAGCAATAAAATGGTAGTGGCTCTAAGAAAAACTAGATAGACTCAGTAAATAGCAGCTACTAGACTAGGGAAAAAGATTTTCAAAGTATCAAAGAAGAAAATGGCAAGAAATACAAGCCATTAGTCTTAGTTGGACCCTCTGGAGCTGGTAAATCTACTTTGACTAAATATATCATGGATAAGTACAAAGGTCTGTTTGAATTCAGTATATCAAGCACAACAAGAGTTCCAAGAGACGGAGAAGAGAATGGTGTTCATTACTACTTTATGAAGAGACCAGATTTTGAGCAGGAGATTAAGACTGGCGACTTCCTTGAGTATAACGAAGTTCACGGCAATTACTATGGCACCAGCAAAACTGATGTGCTAGAGGTGCAAAAGCATGGAAAGATATGTATTCTAGATATAGATGTGAAGGGAGCCAGAGATGTTCATAAATCAGGAGTTGTAGATTGCAACTATGTACTTGTGACTACTCCATCAATAGATGAACTGAGAAACAGATTGGAGGCAAGGGGCACTGAAACTGAAGAATCTCTAAATAAGAGGGTAGGCAATGCTGAGGCCGAACTAAAAATGGCTTAGGAAATCGGAATATTCCAGAAGACTCTAATCAATGATACCCAAGATCAATTCATCAAGGATTCTGAGGCATATATTAAGAAAATCTATGGAATCTAATGAGGTTATCAGATATTTATAGGCGTATTAGAAGGGAAAAAGCATAAAGCTAAGTTCTCCTACTTCCAAACACAATTGAAAATCTACTTTTAGATCATTAATTTAAGTTTTAAGTTATTTCATGGTCAGCAATAAGCCCTCATGGGGTTTTGGGGTTTTGGGGTTTTGGGGTTTTGGGGTTTTGGGGTTTTGG